CTACCCGAGCGTTGTCATGGTGACGATGGTGTACCAGAAGGCCGCGGGGATGCTGGTGAACTTGCTGGCCGTCGATCCCTTCTCGGCGTAGAACATGACCGTGGCGAAGATGATGATGGCCATGGTGAGCGAGAAGAGGAGGAAACCCAGCTCCGAGGCGCAGCTCTTCAGCGTGTAGCCTAGGATGCGAAGTCCCGCCGAGTGCCGCGAGAACTTAAAGATCCGGAAGACGCGGAAGACGCGCAGCGTGACGAAGGCGCCGCTGACGTCCTCGTTGTCCGTCATGACGAGGCCGATGTAGTACGGCATGATGGCCACCACGTCGATCACACTCATCACGCTCTTCACGAACTTCCAGCGGCTCGGCGCGGCGAGCATGCGCAGGAGGTACTCCACCGTGAAGATCATGACGCACGCCGTGTCCAGGCAAAAGAAGGCCAGCGCGTACCGGTCCCCGCAGGACAGCTCCTTCACGCGGCCCGGCATGGCCCCGCACGGCACCGTCTCCACCACGTTGGCCATCACCGACACCGCGATGAAGAAACCCGTGACGTAGTAGAAGACCAGCGCCATGGTGGAGGTGTGCGGGTTCTCAAAGGCGCGCCACATGGTCTCCCGGAAGTTGAGGTCAGGGGGGACCAGGTCGTTGTTCTGGTCCATGTCCTCATCGTCCTGGATCCGCTCCTGGTTCTCGCGCCGCCGGTCCTTGTACTCCTCATAGCAGCAGTCCCCGATGATCTCCGGGATGATCCCGAAGAAGGCCAGCTCGTCCTCGTACGCCGCGATGCACTCCTGCCGCGGGTAGTGCAGCTTCCCGGTGCGGTAGAAGTTGAGGATGTGGCGGAAGATGTCCGGGTCCCGGTCGAAGAAGTACTCATTACTCTCGTCGTGGAAGAAGAAGTCTCGCTCCGTGCTGCCCAGCAGGGTGTCCGGGTAGCGCTCCAGCGTGTCCCGCCAAGTCTGGAACTTTGCGCCGCTCACGTTCAGCATGATGAGCGCGTCCGTGCCGCGCTTCTTCTCCTGCGGAGGCACCGGCATGGGCGCGCCCGCCACCGGCATCCAGCCGATGGCTGCCGCGCGGGCGAACGGCAGCCATGCAGCCACTCCTGCCGCCATGCTGGTCCTGGTGCTCGGACCTAGATCCCGGTTCAGGTCCTGGAGCTGTGAGGGGGCGCGTTAGGAGGACTCAATGAGCGGAGCGGAGCGGACAGAACATGAGAAAAGAAACGGAGAGAAAAACATGGAAGTGAGCAACAGTTTCTCCGGGAAACAAACGACGGGTTTACGGTCCAACCGGAGATAAAAGATCAGATCCTCACGTTCTCACTTTATCCTTTAAGTCCGTTTGTTGTTGTTGTTTCTTTGACGCGTAAAAACCGGAAAACCAATCCAAACTTACTTCAAAGCTTCAGTCGTCTCTCTCTCTGTGCGTCCCCCCGCGCAGCAACAAGTCCGACTTGCATCAGGAGAATCCGGCGCTCCTCACCCGGACACGCAGAGGACTCGGACCCGCCTCAGGCATGCTCCCCCACCCCCGGGTCTCCCCCCGTCCGGAGTCTCCCGGTCCCCAAGCTGAGCCCGCAGTGAGCCCCCCCACTGCTGAGACACACTGATCCCCCGCAGAGAGCCGAGTCAAACCGAGCCGAGCCAAACCGAGCCGAGCTGCTGCAGACAGAGAGGAAGAAGAAACGCTCAGCTGGAGGAGAAGCAGCTCCGGTCACACAGGTGCTGCAGCTGTGAGGGAGGCGGAAACTCCCTCTCTCTCTCTCTCTCTCTCTCCCTCTCGCTCGCTCTCTCTCTCTCACTGGTTGGGGGCGTGTCCGTGGAGAAACCCCGCGCGACAGACTCTGCATCTTTACGCAAA